CACAGAAGGGAAATCATGAACGTAAGAAAAGCAATTAACAGTTATAGACTTAAGTTTAAAAAAAAAATATTCGGTAATGTAAGGAAGATATTGTTGAACACGTGAAAGAAATTAGAAATTTTGTAGAAAATTTAGTAAAAGAATTAAGATCACGAAAAATAAACGTTTCTTTTTAAATACAATTTCATACCACTAAGTTAAAGTGTGTATAGAATACTAGAATGGTTTAAAAAAAGTAAATGAAGTTAAAATTAAAAATTCAGAATATATTGAACATTATAACGTTAAAAAAAGTGTGAAATTGCATCTAAAATTAAGTAATGTAACAAATAAACAGCATGTGCGGGAACGTTTGTGAAATATAACATATAAGTTAAAAATCAGGGTATGCTGAAATTTATGAAAGGTATGAAAAAAAATAGTATGTGGAAATTAAATAAAATATTACAAATTAGAAACGTTAAGTATTAAAAAAATATGACAGTAAATGAATATGTTATTATGAACAGAAAACCTGAGAAATAAGTTAAAGTTTCATGGAAAACTAGAAAGGATAAAAGTATCAGAATAAAATTGAGTAATAAAAACAAATTATCTTGTAGTTTCATTTTCATGAACATGATGAACTATCATTAAAGGAAAGTCTTTTTATTTGTTTGTTTTTCTTTTACATTGTTTTCAGAGTCGCGCATTGAATAATTTTAACACCAGACTTAAAAATATATTTCTAAAACATATATTTCACTTTTTCGTCAAGAGAGGGCAGCATCGCCATTTCATGAAAATTAAGATGCAGAAAATATTTCCCGTTGCCAATTTAAAAAACTAACTTTAAATGAAAAGCAGGAGGTCTACAACTCAATCAGCAGTCTACCAACACATCAACTCCACTCGTGACCCACGCCTCCTAGTGTGATGACGTTGCCTTTGGCCCCGCCCTCTGTGATGTCATTGGCCACGCCCCCTGACCCACTGACCCACCTGCCGCAGAACCCCCATTTTCTATCTACTGGAATCCATTGCCCCCCCCACTTAATTTTTATTTAAAAAATCAGGGGCCAAGAATAAACTAACTTTGTTTTTACATCTATCAATTCAAACTGTTTAAGGACAATTCCTGTTAAACAGTTATCTATTCCTGTTGTTAAAAGGAATAGATACAGGAAAATGCGTTGATTTCATCATGCGAGTATATCTAATTAAAACATTGAATACTTTTACAGAAACACATTACAAATCTTTTCACTTTTTAAATATAAAGTATTTTAAAATAATATTTTAAAATTTTAAATTCACTTTTTAAATGTAGAAGATATATAATGTTCCTATGTTACTCTAAATGCACATTCATCCGATTTCTACAAAATGTTTCGCTATTCCATCTGGGCTCACTCTATATTCAAGAAAATGGTCCATTTTTGAAGCGACTGAGAAATGGATTGTCTAGAATAATGTTTAACGCAAGTGATCATAAAATAAAAGAATAAAACAGGCTAAAAGCATTTGAAAGTTGATATTTATAAAAAATAGTGAAAAATAGCGATGATGTTTATTTAAGTGTATTTGTATGATACCATTCAAAAGGAAAGGCAAGAAATAATCAAACAGAAATGGTAAGTTTGCTAGCCCACCATACTTGTTCTATACTTTATAAAATTTTTAAACGGTGAACATTTACTTGTAGCGTGAAACTATATGCTAACACCAGAAAAATGGTAAAAGGCATTTTTTCTATTGGGGGAGGAAAGGCAAATGCCGACCAATCCAATATATTTCTCTTTCACTTATTAATATGTTTAGTTAGTTCAGGCGCCAATTGTACCAATCACGTAGAGCGCTAAAAATACTACAGCCGGGTCTGGTGCCATACATATACGTTGCAGAATATTAGGTGTTCTGCAGAGGAAATTTGTAAGAATGTATTCAGTTCATTATAAGATATTTCTCTCTATTGCAGACACTTGTAATGTAAACTATGCTTTTAATTAAAACTCTAGAGAAAAAATCACATAACATGGCCATTTTATCGAGCCATCCGATCAGAGTCGTAGCTAGGGTTTTCAGCGCCCAGGGACAACTGAAAATTTCGCGCCCCCAACTGCTTGCCAAGGATGGAAAACATTTAATTTTAAATTGTCGTAACATCAATTTGGCGCCCCTTGGATTCTGCGCCCGGGGACAGATGCCTCCCTTTCCCCCCTCTAGCTACGCCCCTGCATCCGATGTGTACTTTCCTTGGGAAGACTTATTATTCTCGTTTTTTCTAAGTTGCCCGACATAGAAAATTCAACAGTATGAAAGATTGGGCAGAATGGGATGTCAACTGATAGACAGACAGAACATGCATATGTAAACGAGTGATGTTATTTATAGAAAGATAAATTTATGCAATACTGAAATATGCAAGGAATCAATAAGATGTATAACCACCTCTCGCGATGATGCAAGCTGCTATCCTATGAGGTACAGATTCAATTAGTGTGCAGATAGTATCCTGAAGGATGGAAGCCCATATGCTCTGAGCCTTCCTCCAAAGTTCATCCTCTGATGATGGTTGGGACAGAGCAGACAAACGACGATAAAACAATAAAGCTCGATCGGAGAAAATCAGGTAACATGGCAGGCCAAGAAAGCAATGGGACATGCTGCAAAGCTTGTCGACTAACGAATACTGCGTGCGATGTCGCGTTGTCCTGCTGGAAATTACTGTTTCGCAGCCACTAAAGATAAGATAGCGCAAGTAACTGCAGCACCGCATCAACGTATTGTCGTGCCCTCAATGTGTTTTAGTGCGTAATAGGGGTGATCTGCTACCATAACACATGATCCCAAACTATTATGTCACGCTAACAAGTAGTGTGCATTTCAGCAGTAGTAGTCGGATTGGCTGTATATCCCCGATACTTCAAAACTCTTAACCTGTGACTATCATAAGATAAACAAAACCGAGACTCGTCACCGAATACCACATTGTGCCATTCAGATGTCCAAGCGGCTCGTTGACGACACCATACAGTCTTTTGCGTCGGTGGTTTGGCGATAATGGCTATCTTCGCAAAGAGTAGCTTGTGTGCAAACCGTTTTCAGCCAAACGTCGAGAAAGTTTCCTGTCGGATATTGGAACAACCAAAGCTCTTTGCACATTCCGAAAAATGTTCATTGTAATCGATTGCGGAGCCGCTATCACTTCTCTTCGTACGCATCGATCTGTGCGTTCTGCAATAGTACCTAAATCTATGGATGACTTCATGTGAGACTTTCTAAGGGAAACTGGTTTGTATTCTCGTTTAAACACGGGGAACCGTAAATCCACTCCATTCGCCTGGGTTTGAATCAAATTACCAGTTTTCGGTATTCTTTAACTACTGATGGGTCTTTAAAAGATGTAGTAGTCTGCAGAAATATATAGCTGCCCTGATCGGTATAATGGTTAGCAATGCTAGCTGTCTTACCAACAGGCTAAAGTTCAAATTCCGAAGAAAGCATGGGTACATTTTATTGGTCCATTTTTCTAATAATGAAAGGTACGAATGAGAAAAGATTTCCGCAAGAACCTAATATGATTTCGTAGAAGGAAATATAAGCGCATTTCAGATTTAGTAAAAATAGATTGTGACATAAACGATACTAAGCTGAAAAATGTAGCTTTAAGTTTTTGTATTCGAAATCGTATTCAATACTATGATAGTATCTAGGCGACAATGATAAGAAATACAAGCGTGTATTCGGTTAGAAAAGTAAATATCCCAGTTCTAAGCACTCTAAAAGATGATAATAATTAATTATATCATCTTGATTTTCTTATAATATCAGTATAGTGATTCTTATCTGACAGGGAGATAATTCCGTATAATGTAGTCATTCTTTGAAAACGTTCTTTCTCTTTACAGTAGCAGATGTCCTAAATTATACTTCAATAGACACCTTCTGAAACTTAATACAGTTATTCAGCTAACAAATGACTCAAAAAGAAATAATTTGCAGGTTTTCTTATCTGTTGCCAAAATATTAATAAATATTTAAATAAGTATTAAATTTTGTAAATTAATTTATTTTACTTACCTAAAAACAACATCCAACGTAATAAAAGAATTTCAAAATATTTTGGAAAAGTAGTGAAAGCTGTAGTTTGCAATATAAAATACAAAGTAAAAGAGTACACCAGAATATAACAGTAATGATACTGAGATAATGCAATTAAAAAATCCGTTTGAAAATGATAAACCTCTACATTTTCAAAAAATGTTAAGCTAAAATATATGCTATCGCGTATTCAGGGAAAACTACATGCAATGTGGATATATTACAATGTAAAAGATTTAATTTATTACAGCGTAAAGAGTTTAATACGTACATATTACAATTCAAAAAACAGCTTAAAGAAATGTACTTAATATAACGTATAATATATTAAACTTAACATGTAAAAATGTAAACAATTAAAAACATTAATTTTTTGTGAAAAATATTATTTAATAAAACGATCGGTTTGCATCAGAATTCACTTATTAATTTCGTAGGAAATTTAAAAATAAGTAATACATAATTTCTAATTACATTGAACGGCATCACAATTCAAGTACAGTTTTATATTTTGTTCGGTATAGTAGACTGATTCGTTAATATATATAAGACTGCATAACCTTAAACAAAACATGAAAATTATATGAAACTGATTACTTTGCAATGACTCAAAAATAAAACCAAGAAACATGTTTGATTTACTGAAAGCTGTTAACGAATGGAGAATTCCACAAAAAGAATGGTATAACGTATACCAAAGGTTGTAAATAACTACAAAAAAAGAAAGAAGATTCGTTCTAAACAGGAATCCTCGAATTCATAGTTCTCTTTAAACTAACTTAGATAGATTCTATTTCTTAAGCTTGTAACACATTTACTGATTCGCGAGTTTATCACCAAATTTCCAGCATTTACACCTATATTATGACTCTAGATAACGATGAAAGAAATTGATTACTAAATAAAACAATGTTTACCTCAGAGCACAGTCGAACTAGATGAGAATTTGAACGAACTAAGCAGCAGACGATACATTTCGCTTATTAGTTTTTAAACATGCGCTAATGAAGCTTCGTTCTCACGATGTTTAGTTGTGCACATGACTAACGTAGTGAAAGTGGACTTCGAACTGTACTCATCGGTGAGAGATAAAAAAGCAAAAATCGTTTTCCGCATCTGTCACTCTTACCTTCGTTTCGTGTAGCAACTGAGAAAACTCCATTTAATATTCAACAGCAGATGCTACAAAAAGTAATTCTTTTCGTGAACGAAAGGAAATCGATTTGTTAATACGTAAAAGGTTATTTCTTGATAAATTAAGCTTTATATATAGAAAAATTATAATACACATTTCCAAGAGAGGGAAAAAATGAAAAGATATCAAAGGATGCTACTATATCATAGAAATATATACTACTAAGGAACTTAATTCTAAGAAATAATACTAGTAAGCACTGTGATGCTTCTTTGGCGATATGAAGCAACTCCAATGATGGAACACAGCAATAACTTTTATTTAACACTCACAAAATAGGAGACATACAAAAACAAGAAGAGAAAACGAATTCTAACATTTTAAAATAAAATACATTCTTTGTGCGAAGAGTCGCACGTGGCACTCGAGTCCTGGTTTCAAACATTGCCATTCACATATACCTTAATGTTCATCTTAATTAAATTATTTATTTCAAACTACAAGATTTTAATAATATTTAAAGCTGTTACAGCCTCTCCCTCAATGCAGAGACTTTTACCGAAGGGAAAAGTTCTGTAAAATTTGACAAGTTTATAATCTCGGCTTGCTCAATTGCTTAAAGAGAAAAGGTAACTTCTCTTAGAAGTTTCCAAACTTCAGGCCAAAATTTTTAAGTTTTAAACAAATATTTTTATACTACATTTAAGTAGAAAAAGATGCAAAATGATCAAATTAGTCTTCCTTTTTTCCTTGACGGCGCCTAGATCTCTTTCATGGTGGACCAGTTCCTCGGCTATAATTCACAGCAAAGCCTTTCGTCAGTTCATCTGTGCCTTTCGGATAATATTCATTTGTCATTTGCTTTCGACAATTGTTTTCTTCGTCTATTAGTAGCGGCTTTGATATTAAATCAAAAGCCGAAAGATGATGATAACGCTGCATTGCAAAATGATTCCCAATATTAATTTCTTTATCGTTTTCCAGTTTTTCGTGAACATCTTCCACGTTTAATTCCGGTGATTTTACTTCTTCAAAGACATCTCTGGATGCTTTATTTTCTTCCTTCATCGGTTCCAAGATCTTCTCTTCAGCTATTTTTCTTTTCCTTTGAGATCTAGTAGAGACGGCATTAACCTGATAAGGATGACTATCAGGTTCCTTTCTTTGTTTATTCAACAGTGCAAAAGTTCGATTGCCTAATAAATACCTTCCTTTGTCGAGTTCATTTCTAATAATGGCAGCCTTAGTTATTACTCGTCCAAGATCGCAATTTAGTTCGATCTCAGCCAATGGTAAACAGGTTGGATTCAAATCTAATGGCTGTTGCACCCACACATTTTCACCTGTCAGCATTTCCGGCGTGATGTATTTGCGACAAACTATATCAATACTAGCACCTGAATCCCTTAATATAGGAATTTTATGACCATTTACGTAACCCATACTAGTATAAGGTAATAGAAATTTATCCTCTGTTTTTGCACTAATTCTGTTAAGATTAGCAGGAGATTCAGTACTATTCTTAAGTTTTGGACATTGGGGTCTTAATGTTGATAGGACCCACACTGATAGCATTGTGGGCGTTTTTCGTTTTTCATATTTATCATCTGGACGTGGATTTCTAGGTCTATGAAACCAGCTTTGCGAATTAAATCCTGATGACAATTTTTTTTTCAGTTTATTTTTATTATCTGAACTCATTTACCTTGAGTTAGTGCATTGTATCTTTCTTTCTTCTGCCGATCCACTACAGGCTTTTTTTGAAAGTTTCCGAAACGTTTTCATAGGCATCAAGTTTTTCAGCTAATTTTTTAGATGAAATCATCTCTACCCATTCATCAAGAAAATGATCTCGAATTTCAGGAGGAACTCGACGTTTAAGTTGGTCAAGCACCATCAAATCTAGCAACTGATCAAAAGTCTTAATAACTCCTAGACCAGTCACCCATTCTTTGCAATAATTTTCTATTTCATAATTGAAATCCACCCATGTGGATTCGGTACTTTTTTGATGTTTCATAAATTTCTGCCTAAACTTTTCCGGGCTTAGTTTAAACCGTCTCAACAATAAATTTTTCACGTGTTCATAGTCTTTAGCTTTATCGGAGGGTTCTCTAGCTATTAACTGGGTTACTGTCTCGTAAGGAAGTAGTCCTAGTAAATGAGATACAAATTCTTCTTTATTTTATCAATTTTAGCCCATTCTGCTTGCCTTTCAAACAATAGCAAATATAGACTGATATATCCTTTCTTGTCATCGAATTTCTGCATAAGGTGACGCAGCTCCGTTTTCGGCCGGATCTGTCCGGTATTTTGAGACTTTGTCTCTGCTTCAAGTCTTAATCTCTCTAATTCATACTGTTCGTTCCTTCTCCGCTCTTCTGCTTCCTCTCTCTCTTTCCGTTCTTCTATTATTGTTTCTAAAACTCCTTTGACGAAGACTTCATCATAATCTCTACTTTCAACAATTTTCTGTTTTAAATCAACTATTTTCAAATCTGCAGTCACATGAACTCCCAGTTCAGCTGCGAGATTTTGCAAATCTTCCTTACGAGCTCTTCCTAAGTAAGACATTGTTTCTACGTTTAAAATTAACGAACACTGTGTTCCTTATATTTCCTCAAAATGGCTCAAAAATGAAATATTTAAATTATATGAAGTTCATTCTCTGTACCACATTAATTGTGATTAAAATAAGAATAATAACATAGAGCAATATAAATATCTACCGTCTGCACAACTAAAATGAATATTAAATATAATATCAAATACGGTAATAAAATAAGGCAATTTAATATTAACAGGAAATAATAATCTGGTATCGCTAATATTGCGTTCAGTGATGAACTAATAAAATAAAGCAATTCTATATGAACAGGAAGTAGTAATCTGGTATCACTAATATTATGTTCACTGATGAACTAATAAAAATAAAAATACGCACGATTATTCGATCTTGGTCGGTGCCTCCAAAATAATTATGACTGTGATGCTTCTTTGGCGATATGAAGCAACTCCAATGATGGAACACAGCAATAACTTTTATTTAACACTCAAAAAAATGGCGACATACAAACAAGAAAGAGAAAACATATTCTATCATTTAAAAATAAATTACATTCTTCGTGCGAGAGTCGCACGAGGCACTCGAGTCTGGTTTCAAATATTGCCATTCACAAATACCTTAATGTTCATCTATTTAAATTATTTAAACTACAAGATTTTAATATTATTTAAAGCTGTTACAGCACTTAATTAAACTTATAGTGTTTAAATATAGTCTTTTCACATTTTCTAATGCATGTTTCATTAAGGCAGCGTGGTCCAAATTTACAATATTGCGACAGTTTTCATTGTCTGAGACTTATAATTTTTATTATTAGTCCAAAGGGATTTGAATCCCGAAGGACTATTAGTTTCGTTTTGGCATTTTGCGTCGGACTCATAAATGTCGGTTCACTTTTCAAACTGTTGCCACAAAATGTTAGAGTCCTGCATTATATTTGAAGAAATTAAATAATGAAAAATCTGCATAAATGTATGTATATTTCTCGTATTGTGATAAAAAAACGAATGTGACGTGTGTACAACAACGTACAACAACGTAATGTGATAAAACACGCAGCCCGCGGTCCGCGTGCGGCCCTCTAACTTATTTTTTGTGCACTTGCCCTTCTTTACTGGAAAAAAATGTTAGTTAAACATTTGGAAAAACAAAACACCCTCCTTACTGCTTTAAATAATAAATAGTAAATATAAATAATTATATTAAATATAATAATTAAAAAAAATACAAAAAAAAATCTGAAATGTTTCAGATTTTAAATTACGTCCAAAGGGGCGTTTTTTAACATTTTGTGTGTTACCTTTCTTTATTAAATATCATGTTCCTCGCACTTAAACCATAAGATCCAGTGCAACAGCAATATCGCAAAATAGTTTTAAAACGAGCATATCTTTAGAATTTCCGATACAGAGACTCACGCGCTGGAGATAAAAATGTTTTTTTTTTTCTGCACAACGTTGCCATTGCTCGCTTTGAAATCCTTGAGTTTGTTAATCAAAAATTCGTCAAAGTTTTAAAAAATAGGAAATCGATCATAAAACAAATTTCAAATTTCAAATTTGGTCTTCCACATGCTCATATTCGTTGGAGGATTACGTTATTCAAAATTCGATGACTCTATGTACCGTTGTTTTATCACAATACGAGAAATATACATACATTTATGCAGATTTTTCATTATTTAATTTCTTCAAATATAATGCAGGACTCTAACATTTTGTGGCAACAGTTTGAAAAGTGAACCGACATTTATGAGTCCGACGCAAAATGCCAAAACGAAACTAATAGTCCTTCGGGATTCAAATCCCTTTGGACTAATAATAAAAATTATAAGTCTCAGACAATGAAAACTGTCGCAATATTGTAAATTTAATAAGGGGAGGCAAAGCCCTGAGACACAGAGCATTTATTGCATTTGTGAACAATTTGAATCTGAGTATGGTGACATTTCATTGCACTGTTAAGTGCGCTTGCTAAAGCTGGAAATTGTCTCCAACAGTTTTTTTGAGGGGGAGGGGGGAGGAATAAAATTCTTGCTTTCCTCAAAAAAAGAAAACATTAGGCATGAGTATAAAAAAAAAATTTGGAAGAAATCCAGTTTTTAAATAATCTTGCTTTTCTGACAGATTTAACAACCCATCTAAATGCTTTAAACTTGAAACTACAAGGCAAAAAAAAAAAAAAAAAAATATATATATATATATATATATATCCCAGCTTTATGGACATATTGAAGGCTTTCGCAAAAAACTTAATGTAACGCAAATTGCACTGAAGGCAAATAATACGGCACATTTTCTCATTTTGTCAGCAGGTGAAAGAAGAAACTGACACAAATTTTGGTATGTTTTACTAAGTATTTACTAAGTAT